TGAACAGTGCGCAAAGAGTTGCACTTACAGTGGTTGGGTGGACGTCTTGCGCTACTGACTCATATATAACAGTGATGGCACACCACGTTGACAAGGAGTGGGAAATGCAAAACTTCATTCTTCAGACCAGAGTTTTCCGTGAGTCGCACACCGGAGCAAACCTTGCGGAGTTACTGCGTGACGTTTGCCGCGAGTGGAACATTGGCGATAAGAAGCCAGCGTTAGTCACGGATAACGCCACTAACATGATTCTGGCGGGATCTGGGGCAGAAAAGAATCTGGCGCATAAATGAAGCGACATGTGCGATGCATAGCACACACACTTAATTTGTCCTCGCAAAAAACATTTGCAGTAGACCAGGTGAAACCTGTCCTGGTGAAAATAAGGAGAGTCGTTACATTTTTTTGACTCTTTTGGACATTTCATTTTGAGACACTCAGTGAGAGTGGTCTGTGTACGCCAAAATACACACAGCAGCTTTGAGCCTGTGACTGCCCTATTGTTTAAATTGTATGTTATTGTCTGTCCTATGGAGATGGATATTTCATGTAAGACACTCAGTGAGAGTAGTCTGTGTTTACACTACAGCAACAGCTGTGAGTCTCAGGTGCCAAATTGTTTACATTTTCTTTGCACAAAACCCAATTGTGAAAGGGCTTAAATAAGTTGTTTTACACGTTCTACTGTTTATAAGGAATAAAGTGGTATCCTTTTTGTAATACCATACTGAATTCCATCTTTTTTTAAACTTTTTTTCTTTGCTTATTTGCATCATGTTTAATCGCACAATATCGCAACAAATTGCATTGTATCGTATCGGATTACATTGATTTGAACTAAATGTGTATCGCATCGTATCGCATCGTGAAGACGGTGAAACGTATCGCATCGTGTCGCCAGAAAATTCCATGTACCGTTTAAGTATCACATCGCTGGTAGTGCATCGAAATGTGTATCGAATCGTCCTCGGTGCTGAGATTCACATCCCTACTCTGCACTGTGAGGCCGACGCTCGAATCAGTCGACCACCGGGCTGCCTTCATAAATACATATTGTATATATTTTGCATTTTTTACAGAAGGGTTTTGACTAGAACAACTGTAAAAGTGACACCGCACGTTGTCGCAACTATTTTAGGAATGACCTATTGACATTGTCATATTTTTGTAGGTGCGTTTTGTAGGTGAGAGCAGGAGTTGAATGTGGAATGGGGAATGGAACACATTCGTCTCACCGTGGGCCACAGGGGATGGCAAAAAAAAAAAAAAACAAAGTTGTATCATGACAATGAAAGGAAAAAGTCAGTTAATCCACAATTCCTTGCTCTACAGTACCTGTATATTTGTCGTGGGAGTTTACCTTAAGCTGCTGTTTAACTCGCTCCCTGTCCCAGGACGATATGTTCTCACGAATCACACTGAGAATGGGGTGCCAGTCCTCTGAGAGGTCAGAACCTTCAGTGACCGCGGCCAGCACCCTGACTCGCTGCCCACTGCCGTTGTGGCGCTTGGGAATGCCGCGGACATACAAGGACTGCTTGCCAACATCACTCAGAGGGTTTAGGTACAAACTACACAAACAGACAAAAAACAGAGTTTTAACCAAACAGTAAAAGAGCGCTATTGCTTATTTTGGAATAAAATGATGACTCCTAAGTGCATTCAGCATGATGGTTAATAAAGGTAAAGGTATGTTAGTACTGTTTGAACTAAGAGCAGAATTAGACACCGCTGCTGGACCGACTCTTACTGCACAGTGTGAATGCTGGGATGTTCCCTGCACACATCCACTAGGGCCAGAGCTGCATTGTCTCCGATATTGTTATAGGCAACGTTGAGCTCCTGGAGTCCAGTGTGCTGCTGAAGTTTCTCAGCCAGCTCGAGGGCTCCTTTGTCCCCTAGGCCCGTGTGCATGAGGGACAGATGCCTCAAGGACTGGTTCTCCGGAAGGGCTTCCAGAAGAAGGCAGGCTCCAGAGTCTAGCAGTGGGTTGTCACAAAGTCTAGAAGTACAGACAGGGAGAGAGTCAGACATGGATGCTATTCAATTCATGGTCATGGGGACAAATGTCATGATGACAGATTATGATATTGACTAGGGAACCAATTTTGCGATCCAGCATCTAATATGATCAGATGCTCAAGTCACGATGATAAACTTCATGTACCGTATTTTTCGCACTATAAGGCGCTTCGGAGTATAAGGCGCACCTTCAATGAATGGCCTATTTTAAAACAGTTTTCATATCTAGGGCGCACCGCATTATAAGGTGCATGGAATAGAAGCTACAATAATGGCTGAGGTTGTGTTATGCATCTAGATGGAGCTACCTAAAGGGAATACAATACAACATAATACAGCTTTATTTACAGTATATAGCGCTTTCACAACTGCTGCAACTGTAACAAAGCGCTTCACAGAACATTGAAAATACTACGTGCAAGAAATCAGAATATTGATCCATATATAAAGCGCATCGGATTATAAGGTGCACCGTCAGCTTTTGAGAAAATGGAATGCTTTTAGGTGCGGAAAATAAAGTACTTTATCCATCAATCCTTTTTCTGTACTTGTCCTCATCACACTTACCACTCATTGTCAAGCATTCAATACTGTACTTATATTCTGTAAAGGATCATAAAAATAGTGTGTAGTCGGAGGAAAAGTCCACCCTATTAAGGCCTGATTGAGAAAGTCAAACATGCTGAGGAATACAAATGTGCTGATTTTACTCTGCGGAATAGGGTCTCAAAATCTTCCCATAAAACAGCCCCTAGTTCTTGCTAATACAGTGCTCACTAACCCCGATGTTTTAAAAGGTTTAGCTTGGCCGGTAAAAGTCATCTTTACCTTAAGACACCCCAAAATTGAATTGCTATCGGTCTTGAGTACACATTTTTCGCTTGGAATAAAGATTTAATTCTCAAAAAACATGCAGCATTTGGCATTTCCTACTCTCCTGCTAAAAATGTGCATAAAACAGATAAATTCGAGAGATTGTCCATCTTTTCGCATGATTGACTGAAGGATTTCAGCGACTTGACACATTTAGTCAAGAGACAAAGAAATGTGTTGAAGGGTTGTCTTACTGTAGCACTCTAACACAACTTTTGGAATCCAGAAGCAGATCTCTCAGGAAGATGCAGGAGTCAGGGCCAAGGCTATTAAACTGCAGACTGAGGACAACAAAGACAGGCAGGGGCAAAAATCACAACAAACACGGCATATCCATGCTGACTGCTTTGCGAGCGTCATCACAAGTCAAGTCGTAACCCAGATAGTGCTCATCTTCCGAGTTGTTCAAAAATAAGGACAAATTAGGTTTTTACGCTACAAACAAAACCTAGGAATCCAGATCAACAATGACTTTGTCTGTCTTTACTTTTAGTCCTTAGCAGTAACATGTCCACTGTCGCGACAAGTTTCCGGTGATGAGGAAATATGTGACACAGCGTAACAGAAAACGTGAGTTGAAAGAATGGCTGATGGTGACATGCAGAATACTGTTTGGTCAAGTTCGGTCAGTGAATAATTAGTAGGGGTCTTTATTAAGAATTCCTGGAGTACTTGGTGAAGTATTTACATCGTACTTGTGAAGGAATAAGTGATGTTGTCGAGATCAATGTTTAATCAAAATGTATAGTTCTTAGTTTTAAAATCTTGTCCTTTATTTTTTTTAGATCATCATCCAGGTTACTGAGATTCATACTTGAAGAAACAGATAATGAACAAAAACATTAGTTCATTATTAGTTAGTGCGCATCACCCCCCAAAAATGAAATCAATACAAATCAAAACATTCCCAGTCAGTGAAATGCATCAAGATCTTGACTGCAAACAACAGAAAAATAGAAAAGTTTCAGAGTTTCTCTCACTTGAGGTTCCGAGTGTGTCGGAAGGCAGGCGACAACATGCGAAGCATGTCCTGAGTTAGGAGACAGGAGGAGAGGTCCAACTCTTCCAGTTGATAACTACGACAAGACAACAATGGTATTTCTTTTAAAACTTATTATTATATGCTCGTCCCTCATACAGTCACAATATTTAGCCCACCTGCAAAATCTAAAAAAAAAAAAAACCAAACAGACAAAAAACTTTCAGAAAGATAAGCATCAGATTTAATTGGAATACCGTATTTTTTGCACTATAAGGCGCTTCAGATTATAAATCGCAGCTTCAATGTCTTATTTTAAAATTGTTTTCATACATAGGGCGCACCGCATTTTAAGGCACATCGAAGCTACAATAGTAGTTGCAGTATGCATCCTTTAGATGGTTCTAAAGGGAATACAATACAATACAGCTTTATTTATAGAGAGCCTCCACAACCACTGCAGCTGTAACAAGGACAGCTGGTCACAAACACAGACGTGAAACATAAAAATACAAATGATATTACCAAAAAATAAATGAAAGACAAAAGTTACACCCACAAGGGGCTAAATATTCTTCGAAGTCTTGCTTGTCTCCTTCCTTCGTTTAGTCAGTAGTTAACTATGCTTTTGGTATTAGCTTTGTTTCATAATGGCTGCGCAGAGCTCACAAAGTAGCTGTCTGTTTAACAATAATAATAATAATAATAATACATTTTATTTATAAGCGCCTTTCAAGACACCCAAGGACACTTTACAATAACAAAAAATTGAGTGTGTGTTGGGGTATGCACATGTCAATTAGTGTTGGGCAGAATCCTTTTAGGTTACAATTTTTTCCTGCTAATAATCACCACTAGATGGCACAGGAAGACTAACAGGGAAACAACTTAATGCGGAATGTCAAGAGAGTTACAATCTCTTTATATTCGACCGATCGGATTATAGGGTGCACTGTTGGGTTTTGAGAAAATTGAATGCTTTTCGGTGCGCCTTATAGTGCGGAAAACATGGGTAATTTGTTACACATAAAGTGCATGGAGTAGTGATGAAAATGAGCAAAAATTGTATACGGTAATCCCTCGTTTATCGTGGGGGTTACATTCCAAAAAGAACCCGTGATAAGTGAAATCCGTGAAGTAGGATTTATTTAAAAAAAAAATAAAAAAAGCAAAAAAATGTGAGGGAAGAAATTTCCCAATATATTTGACAATAAAGTTGTACTTGTAGTTGTACTTGGTACTTGATAGTCAGCTTTATTTTTTACAGTTATTATACAATACTGAACTATGTATACAATGCAGAGGTGATGGCTCTAAGACTGCAAGGGAAGCTCAGCTTCCCCTAAAATGTCAAAAAGTAAGTGATCAAATATATGTGTGTATGTACAATTGTGTGGACATGTCATTGACTAAATATGCGCTACAACGCGCTCAGCTTTTGTTCCGAATCAGCTTCTTATTACTAGTTACGATGCGACTCTCTTCTCATTCATTCCTCAGCTTCACTGTGCTTTAAACTGTGTGGACGCTGAGCGTCGACCGCGCGGATGCTGGGCGTCGAGAGAGTTCAGTGTAGGTTGTCCCAATGCATTGAAACGAGACGAGTCATTGGATAAATGATGGTTTTGTCCCGCCCATCGGACGCTCAGCGTCTCTGGGAGTCTCTGGACAGTGGGCGTTTATGGGCTGGCCCGGACACTGAGCTTTTCTGCATGATGATTGGATGATCTCGCTCAGGCTGAATCTCTTTTTGATTGGCAGTGAAATGAGCCAATCACCGATCTTATGGTGAAGAAAATCTTCTCATTTTTTTGAAAAGGAACGGAGAGTAGAATTCACGTATAAATAAATGGACACATTTCATGATGTAGGCCGAAATTGAGCTTCCCCTCCTTGACAGACCAGCATCCGCCACTGATACAATGAAACCAAAGACCAAAAATTTGCAAAGGTAAATTTGGCAAGTTGTACAGAGACGAGGTGCGGAGACTGTTCATGTTGGTCAGTCCCTTAGCCAATCAGGATGCAGAACACAATTCACTGTTTAAAAAAAAGCCTTAAAAAAACTGCACAAAAAAAAATCTGTGAAACAGCAAAGCCGCGGAAAGTGAACCGCGTTATAGCAAGGGATTACTGTATGCCAAATATTTTGGAAGACGATGCAGTTGGGAGTAAAAACACAACTCCTGGCTTACCTTGGAGGGGCGCAAGAGAGCACAGAACTCAACACAAAGCATTTAAGTGAGGTCATGCGTATGTTGTGAAGGCGGATGGTTCTGATTGAAGCCAGGACCTCTGCAGTAAGTCTGGGATTTTGAAACTCGTACAGAAGGACCAACAGATCCATCAACTCCTCTGGTGGCTGCGGCTTGTTGATTTCTAGCATTAAAAAGAAAAAAAAGCAGCAAAAATTAAATTTGTTAGTTTAGCTTTTTCATGGCGACTGATCGCTCAGCTGATTGCACACACAATCTACGGTGGGTTAAATGACCCCGAGCCCTGAGTTTGACACCTGTGCTCTACAGATTGATTCCCGTAAGCTAGCCCCCATTGGGCCTTTTTAAGTTGAGAGGGTCATTCACTCTTCCACCATGGGACGTTAATCCTATAAGGGTGAAGCTCCCAGCCTCCCTCCAAGTCCACCCCACTTTTCATGTCTCTCTCCTGAAGCCGGTCTCCTCGAGCCCCCACAGCCCTCCTTCCGAGCCCCCTCCTTCGCCACTGGTCATTGATGGTCACCCTGCCTACACTGTCCGCAAGATTTTGGATGTACGTCGCCGTGGTCGGGGTTTTCAGTATTTAGTTCACTGGGAGGAGTACAGCCCTGAGGAACATTCCTGGGTCTCTTGGTCCCTCATCCTCAGCCCTTCTCTCCTGCGGGACTTCGGTCCTTTATTTGGACACACAGGGCTGGGCTTGTTTTTCTATATATAAACTTGAGTTACTCAGTTACATGATGTCAGAGTGTTAAGCCTTCTATGCCCTGCTGTGTCCAGGCCTGCTCTGTTTATTTACTTTGATTTTTTTGCAGATAGCGACTTTTATTTCGTCACTTGTGTTTCCTGTCTGCTTCTGGGTGTCATGTTTTGTCTTGATTGTATTCCAGCTCCAGCTGGTGTGCAGGGCGTTTCCCTCCAGCAGGTCCGCCTGTGCGTCGTTTCCTCATCAAGCTGAGCCTTGTATTTAAGGACTTTGACTTCTGCTTCTCTTTTTCGGATTATCGACCTTGCTCGCTGTATTGTTTCAAGTGTTGTTTTCGAGACCTCTCGATCTTGTTCATAGTCGCTCTTGTTTTCATAGTTCCTTGTTTCATAAGTATTTTCGTCATGAAGTTATTTGTTCTTAATTTTGGTTACACGTGTTTGGGCTGTTGCCATTTTATTTGTGTATTCTCAGTAAGCTTTAGTACCTTACCTTTTGCAAGATCTTTTTGTTTATGCGTTGTTTTTCCTGGCACTTTGTGACTAGCGATTTCAATTTATACTTTGTCAGTGCGATTTTCTTTAATACATTTTTTTTTTAAATTTTTTAATCGAACTTTGTCTGAGCCTGCATTTTGGAATCCGAAAACATTATTGGGTTTGGTTCCGAATGTAACACTGGGTCCAAATTGCGCCCCTCACGTGACATGAATGTGGCTGTAATGGGATATTGTGGGCAAGTACTTTGCTGTCACTACTTTCTTTAAAACCCATGTGCTGCAGTCGATCTAAATAAGTTTATATAACGCAACATACAATTTTACAAAAATTGTAAAAGTATTATTCCTGAATATTTATTTCACATTCTACCACTCGACATGTTCAGTGGCATCAGTGCTATACATACACATATAGTTCTTATTTTTTTCTTTGTATTTTTGCCCTCTATGGACAATAAAAGCGGTATTGTGCTATGACCAAAACATAAATATAAATCTATATAAATAAAACATGAATTGGAATATTTCATATCACACACTTTTTATGCTGTGTCTTTGATTTAAAGATGACGTGATGAAGAATACGCAAAAATCTACAAAAATTGTAGAAATTATAACATATGGGGTAACCCATGTGTTACAAACATCGTAGAAATTGCAGCACAAGGGTTACGACAGAGACCCAAATCTACTGCTTTTGCAGTTTATGGGGAAAAAAATCCAACTTTGTTGGAACCCCAATCTGGAACTACAGGACTGACGATGAAAACATTTTCTTTCAGATATGAGAATTACTTGATCCCTGAGAGTGTTCGTGTGAACCGCGTTAATGTAGCAACGTGGTTGCAATCCGAGTGGGAAAAAAATGGAATATACACGTGAAACGGCTCTAAAATCCTACATCAATAAATAAATTTAGGAAAAAAAATACTATTCATTACGAAATGAAACAACTGATTCTACTGCTCACATTGCTCTTTTCACAAATGAATGCTCCATCTGCCCTGGATAAGTGGAGTTTTTTTAGGGCTAGAAATTGTTTGAAATATCAAAATAATTTTGATACATTGATTTGGAGAACCCCTTGAAATGTTATCCGGCAGAAGCCTATTGGAGGATGTTTTTCGCTGAAACTTGTCAGACAATTGGAGAAAGGGTTCCCCAAGGAGCAGACAAAAGAAATAATGAAATTATACTATGTTACTATAATTTGTGGACATTTTTGTGACCAGATTTAATTTCAATCGTCTATCACACAAACGTTCGCCCAAAAGGCAGTCCCCACCCACACACAAAATCTCAATTTCTCCGGAATCCAACCTCCAATTTTCCAAATTTGTTATGTGCTGTCGTAGCCATTCCATTTCTCAGACTGTCATTTATGGAAAATCTAGTCATGCTACTTACTTGCCATTAAACCCTTCAATTTACAGATTTAGCCTTCAAAACATGATTAGTCCTGAAGGGATTTGTGCCAGCAGAAGAAACATGAATAATCGGCGACTGCAATACATATTTTGCATTCATGACGTGGAAGTGGTAGTAGTAGTAGTCCAGGACATAGGAAAGGTGTTACTCACCTCTAACAAGGTATTTGCGAAGAGCTCGGGTGATCTGGGCCACAGTGGCACTCTGGATGCTGCATCCGAGTTGCTGAAGGAGCACTCGGTTGCCGTAATGCAAGAGTCCACCCATGAAGATGGGATAGAGTTCAAAAGGCGGACCCTCACTCTGTTGTTTTAATGGTGGACCATGCACTCCCAAGAGGCTTTGCTCGACTTGATCCAGAACGTCCTCATTGTAGCTGTCTTCCTTGCGGAAGAGCTCGGCGGCCATCGTCCGCGCAATGTTGCCCTTGTTTCGAGTGCTGATTTTCTCATAAAGCTTCGGAAAAAGCTTGAGCAAGTTGAAGACGGCAAAGATTCGGAGTGGGATGAACTTGGAAAAGATATTGACAATGGCACTCACGTCTTCGCTCGCTTGGCCGATGGCCACAGACACTTGCTTGGTCAGCTTCTCCAGAGCTGATTTATTCTCGCCTAGGACCACATAGAGTGCCGCCAGGTACTCCTGCATGGCCGGAACGGCAAATACATATCGCCTCTCATCATGCTCACAGAGTTCCGTGGGTAAATGCTTGCAACTTTCAACACAGGGAGCCAGAAAAAAGTCGAGCACATCAGTTCTGAAAACAGCCAGCTGGCGTAGCTCCTCATCCGTCTTGGTCGTTCCTCCGATCCACTGCTCCAGCTCCTCCGCTGAGAATGAGGTGCGTTTGTATGTCACGCCTTCGTAGGCCAGCTTGCCGACGGTGCGGACGACGTACAACATCAGAGAACTTTGGAGATCCTGACCGAGTCCGCTTGCCGCAGCAGCTTTGCCCAGTACCTCCCCTCCAAAGTTGAGCCTGAGGAAACTGGTGTATATGCCGGTCAGCGTCCGGATGGGTGCCATGGCGTCGGTGAAATGCAGGAAGTGCAAGGTGGCGCATGTGAGCCAGCAGTAAGAAGGCAGAAAGCAGGCTGCGGCCAGCTGGCTCTCCCTCTGGAGATTGAGGTAGAGCAGCTGTACGAGAGCTTGAGCGTCATGTGCCTGTGCAAGTTCCCCGCTCTGCTGCAGGAGGCGGCTGGTGAAGTAGGCACGCTGACGGTTTGGGTCATTGAAGCCACAAATCTGTGCGTAGCGACTCACGTATTTCGACGGGATGCGATCCAAGGCGGACAGTCTGGTGGTCACCAAAATGCTGGCCTGAGAAACACGCCAGTAACAGATGATCAAACATCACAATCAGTGAAAAAACTATACTGAGTCACACAGAAAGTCCTGGAGGTTTTTGAATGCACTATAAAATTATCTGCACTCTTTGCAAGCATATGAAAAAAAGCGCAGGTCTAGAAAATGGTGAGCCAGGAAGTATCTGGTATTTATATTCATTTTCATGAATGTAGCAAATTCACCTTTGGTGTCTACCACGGCTGTACGAAATTCAGAAATCAAATGAAAATTACCATCCATCCTTCCATCCATCCATTTTCTGATCCGCTTTATCCTCACAAGGCTCGCGGGGGGTGCTGGAGCCTATCCCAGCTGTCTTCGGGCAGTAGGCGGGGGACATCCTGAACCGCTTGCCAGCCAATCGCAGGGCACACAGAGACAAACAAGCATCTGCGCTCACACTCACACCTAGGGACAATTTCGAGTGTTCAATCAACCTGCCATGCATGTTTTTGGAATGTGGGAGGAAACCGGAGTACCCGTAGAAAACCCACACAGGCACGGGGAGAACATGCAAACTCCACACAGGGAGGCCGGGGCTGCAATTGAACCCGGTACCTCCGCACTGTGAGATCGATGCGCTAACCACTGGATCACCGGGCCGCCCTGAAAATGACCGTTAAATTCCAATTCAAGAATTGAGTTGGAAAATTGGAACCAGGATTGCAAATGAAATTCAAATTGCAGGAAGTTGACTTGAAATCCCATGAAATTCATTGTGCAAAATAATGTGTATTTCACAATTAAGTGTTACAGCACAGTATATAAGCCTATTTAAAACATGAATTTCATACAAATATTAGTGTCAGGGCTTTATGTGCACAATTCTGAAGTTGAAAAAATGGTAAAGTGTAACAGTTGTTTTTTTATTAAAAGCCTACTCAGATTTTTACAAAAAAATCATTACAATTGTAAAAGTTTTATTTTGAAAGCTATATTGCTAAGCTTTCCAACATTAAGGAAATTTGACAGTCTCTGTACTTCCATTTGTATATATTTCATTCTTTCTCCCTGATATGTGGGCCACTCCCTGTAATTCACACTCAAGTCAACATCCTGTGAGGTGGAGCTAATTCAAATTCATCATTCAATCGAACCGAATTCTGAAATTCAGAATTTTGCACAGAACTCCTGTGATCAAACCTTCATGATAGTCACGTGAGGTGAAAGTTTGCTTCCAGGATGAGATTTGGTACAAGCAAGTCACTCACATTTGATCACTCAATATGAATTAGTCTGTACACTTCAGATCATGACAATAAAGATATTTCCACAGAAGAAGAACGTCCAATTTCTAAGCAAGCTCCATCTTGGTTGTTTTACCTCAGGGAGAAGATACTTGCGGAGAAGGTTGACCACCACTGCACCAGCGGGCAGCGACTCATTTGGGTCACTGCAAAGCTCTGTGGATCCAATCCTGAAGTCAAGTTTCATCTTTTCCATCCCATTGAATAAGAAGAGAACATCTTTGGCCTGGTTGCCTTCCCCACTCAATAGAGGGGTTTTTTTCAAGTGGAGGTACTTCCTACTGACAAGGTCTCTCAAGGATGCAACCCTGTTCAAAATAAATCACAAATACCAAAATCAAAATAAAATACATTAGGAAATAAGTTTTTCAAATGGGATGGGAGAATCCAAGCTGTGATGGAGTGACGAAAATACAGAGGAGGTGCGAAAGTGGAGATCTGCATGGACATACGTCCTCCCGAACGTCAACCAGGACAACAAATAGTCATCGGCCTAGTCCAGGGGTCGGCAACCCAAAATGTTGAAAGAGCCATATAGGACAAAAAAAAAAAAAAAATGTCTGGAGCCGCAAATAAATAAAAACCTTCTATAAAACTTACACTGAAAGAAACACATGCTGTATGTATGTAGGAGACTGGACTGTCTCAGAATTGTTTATGTTATTTATTCCTTTGTTGTGTGTTCACAAACGCACCAATAGATATTTTGTGATTTCCTCGCTTGATTTTTTTGTTTTGGTGCATTATTTTCGCTTTTCTTAGTGACAGTGAAGTCATCATGAATTTCTGTTTTTCGGAGGCTGTCTTTGAACGCCTCTCGAGTTGAACGAGAAGAGAGAAGGCACGGAGTCGGATGCAGACGTGTCTGTGTTTGTCGAGACTGTTAAAAGCATAAACAAAGTGTACATTTTAAAAAAAAACCAACACCACAGCTCTCCTTTTTCGGAGCTGCAACATGTATCTATATCTATTTGAGCTATATTAGTCTACTATCAAAATCTTTTTCCATTTTCAAACATTTTTTTATAAAACTCCAGGGAGCCACTAGATGTGGCTAAAGAGCCGCATGCGTCTCTGGAGCCGCGTGTTGCCAACCCCCGGCCTAGTCAAACTGGATGGGGAGTACAGTAAATATTCTCTAGTGCGGACTCGTGTTTGCGCTGTCCAATTTGTCCTGATAACAGAAATTCCTCATTTGGGAAATGAGCATGGTACATGTA